GCAGGAGCCCCTGAGACGCGAGAGGGTGCGGTGGGAAGGAGGAAGGGAGTGCCTTCCCTCGTCGGGGCGGTGGGTGGGGTCAGGGGCCTCGCTGCAGAGGGCTGTCTCCAGGGGGAGGAGGGTTGGAGTGACGGGAATGACGCTGACGGGAGCTGTGCCTCCTGAATTTGGGGATTGCCCTCCCTGCGTGAATGGAGAAGGGAAGGGGAAGTTCAGTTTCTCTTTTCGAGGCAAGATCAGCTAACCTTAGGGGGGGGGGAGGGGGAGGAGGGGGAAGGGGGTGTCTCCTCTCCCAGGGCTGTGGTGCACATGGGGACAGCCCTGTCCTTGAGGCAGAAAAAGCAATATGCAGTGTGGAGTAATGCAAACCGTGCACCAGGGACATCTGGCATACCATACATCCCGTGCTGTGTATAGACTGGAGTGATGTCACCAAGGCTAACTCGTCGCCTGTCCCCCCAAACAGTGACCGCTGGCAGCTGAACAAACTCGGCTGTGTTTCCTGGTGTTGAACAGAAGTTACACATGAGGGAAAACGCCTGTGGGCAAATTTAGACATTCTTGCTGTATAAAACTGTCTTAACGCACAGGAGCAAAAAGCCATAAAGATTTTAGAGGTCTCGGTGTGGTTGAGTTGTGCTGGCAGTGCTCAGCAGTGCCGGTCGCTGTGGTAGGGGCTGACAGGAGTGCTGGAGCAGGTGACTGTGAGTCACAGTTAGTGCTGGAAGTTCAGTTTCACTTGGGTTATAGCACACCGAGAAAGACGGTTTGAGGGAGGAGCGAGTACATGCTCATCATGGGATGGAAGATCTGTGGAGGTGGCAGGGTGAGCTATTCTAGTGTCAAAGGTAAATGCCCCAAGTGAGTAATGGAGGAAGTTATTTCAAAATAAACTGCTCTGAAATGCTGTTTCAGCGCAATCGGTGTAAATAGGTGATGTCATGTTTTACCTGTTGTTCTGGTCTCTGACCTGAAGTATGCTTTAATGGACAACGTGAAGGTGTTTTTCTGTTTGGTAAATTACCTAATCTGTGGCTCAGTGCAATACAGTTACTGCTGCTGAAAGGGATGGTGATGTAAGTTTTAAAGAAATACAAATTCAAGCAGCAATTTTAGTGTTACCGGTAGCTGCCTTAATAGATGTCCTAGATGTATAGGCACGGCTGTTACCTGTTGTAGCCTGCTTGTGGTGTGGATAGGATAGGATAACAAAAACACCAGTAGACTTCCTAATGTCTTCGGGTTGCTGTCAGAGGTCAAAGGTCATGGCTGGACTTTAAAGGAAAAAAACAGTTCTGGAATAATTTATATACTTGAAATATTAAAGAAACCTCAAGTTCCTCATACTGTTTGGCTTTATGTGCTTCCACTTAACTGTTAAGCATCTTAGTACTTGCTGCATCTTCCTCTTGGGATATTAAAAGGTGGCATGAAAGAAGCCTGTTAAGCTTTGTGCTTCGATTTTGATTGAGAAAGACTGATTGTATCAGAAATAGTGTGGCCAGCAGGAGCAGGGAAGTGATCGTGCGCCTGTACTCGGCACTGGTGCAACCACACCTCAAATACCGTGTGCAGTTTTGGGCCTCCCTCTGCAAGAAGGACACTGAGGTGCTGGAGTGTGTCCAGAGAAGGGCAACGAAGCTGGTGAAGGGTCTGGAGAACAGGTCTTGTGAGGAGCGGCTGAGGGAACTGGGGTTGTTTAGTGTGGAGAAGTGGAGGCTGAGGGGAGACCTTATCGCTCTCTACAGCTACCTGAAAGGAGGTTGTAGTGAGGTGGGTGTTAGTCTCTTCTCCCAAGTAACAAGTGATAGGACGAGAGGAAATGGCCTCAAGTTGCACTAGGGGAGGTTTAGATTGGACATTAGGAAAAATTTCTTTACTGTAAGAATGGTCAAACACTGGAACAGGCTGCCCAGGGAAGTGGTGTGGAGTCACCATCCCTGGAGGTGTTCAAAAAACACATAGATGTGGCACTTCGGGACGTGGTTTAGTGGGCATGGTGGTGTTGGATTGACAGTTGGACTTGATGATCTCAGAGGTCTATTCCAACCTGATGATTCTATGATTCTGTATTATTTGGAAGCTTTCATCCACAATATATTAAGAGTATGGGTTTTTAATTGTTATTTTTACAGCACATACTTTTTTCTCAGTAACAGTCTAATGCAGTCATTGTAAGCCAGTATGAACGCTTGTTGTACTGTCATCTTAGAGATTTCAGCTTGAGCAGGACTTGAACTTTTTAAAAAGAAAAGTTTATCTTGCTGCCTGAAGTATTCATTCCCCAGAAGTCAGATGACAGACCTGCCAGGGACCCCAGAGTTGCTCACATGACCCAGGGCTGGGAAGCTGTTCTGTAAAGGAGCTGCATGAGCAATTAAACCCGAGGTCATGCTGTGGCTTGAAGGGGCAGCCCTGCCTCCTGCTTTGTACCTGGACAGGGCAGTGTGGATTTTTTTTTTTTTTTTTTTTTTCAGATGGGGAGGTTCCAGACAGGCCAGTAAACTGTGCTGTCTCTAAGAGTCGAGGACACTGGGTGTGTGAGTGAAAGTAGCTGATCGCCTTTCAGTTCCCCTTGGGGGAGGTTCAGTTTGTTGTATTTATCAGTCTGATGTAGGTTTGATGTTAACTAGACCCAGTTTGGGATCTGAACTTATTTTTTATGGCCTTACATTTTAGAACCCAGATGAAAAGTGGCATTAGAATTGTAAAGCAGCTTGGTAGGTCTCCTTACTGTGTGAATTTCAGGGGCTTACTTAAGTATCACTTTCCGAGTTTTAATATCACTAATGGGGAAACACACTATAGGCTAGGTTTGGTGGCACTTCAAACAGGAGAGCAAAGTGCTATGATGAAAGGGTTGATCCCATTCTTGAACCCTTAACTTGCGCTGCAGAACACCTCTTTAATTTGAAGTTTGCTGCAAAGGAACTCAACAGGAACTCAAAAAAATGCGACAAAGAAGAAAAGGCTGAGAAAGCTAAAATTAAGAAGGTAAGCAGTGAATCTGAAACAAGCTCTTTAGATCTGTTGTTTACATATTATAGCAGGAAAATACCTGGTGTTTTTACCATTTTCCTGATATGCCTGCTAATATCGTGATAGATGTTTGTGTTTTAAATTATATGACTATAAATCTTCCCCTACTTATTAATAAATGTGAGGATACAGTCTTGTGCATCCTCTTGTACAGCTTGTGGCATTTACTTCCTGAGAAGATCGTCTTGTATGTATTTTGTTAGAGACAGTTGTTCTCAAAGTTAAAAATATTTATTGTTAATGTTTATCATCTTGTATTAAAAGGGCTTATGAGGAGGAACCTCAAAATAGTTTTTGAGTCCTTGAAGTAGTAAAGAGAGAGACTAAATTTATTTGACTGTGGTTATGTCTGTGAGATACATCCATACCAACAACATACCCAAAAGTGTTGATACTGAAAACGTTTTTAGGAATGAGAAAGTTATGTTTCTGTCGCTCTGTAAAACCTTCTACTTGAAGTGTGTGCTAGGTGCTTTCCTTGGAAAGAAGTTAGGGGTTCACATCTTGAAAAAATTTGAGAACTATTTGGGGAGGAGGGAGGGTTCTTTTTTTCTCTTTTAATAGGAAAGATACTGTGATGAATTGATGGTTATTCCAGAAATGAAACAGGCAGTTCAGAAGTCATGTTTACAAGAGCAGGGAAGCTTAAAATGCTTTTTCTTTTGCCTTTTTCTTTTCAACAGGCAATTCAGAAGGGTAACATGGAAGTCGCGCGAATACACGCGGAAAATGCAATCCGCCAGAAGAACCAAGCCATCAATTTCTTGCGCATGAGTGCCAGGGTAGATGCTGTAGCAGCAAGAGTTCAGACTGCAGTGACAATGGGCAAGGTAAGTCTGTTCTCACAAAACTGTTGCAAGGATGTGCACTAAGAAGTGACTTAATTCTGTCTATAATAAGCTGAAAAGTTTCAGTTTTAGTTTCAGATGTAGCCGGTAGTAAATCAGGTACTGGAAATCCCCCTGGCAGCTGCCCTTTAGGAATGGATTGCTATCCACTATCTTTTGTAGCTAGTAACTTCTGTTAGCTGTTATTACTCATGCTCCTGAGGATACAGTGTGTTTTACTGGTTACACTGAAGATTGTTTTGCAAAGATACTGCTCGCCTTCCAAATGTATGAAGTCATGACGTAGGACTTGTGATGACAGAGACCTGTTTTAGCTCAGGTGGTTTTTTAAGGTACACTACAGAGAGTTTATTTTTAAGGTACAGCCAGAGAGTTTATTCTGCCATGTGGTCTGTATATCAAATATACCCCTTAACATTTGGGAGGTTTCGAGTCCCACAGAAGTTAATGCCATTATACACCTCAGGTTTTAGTGAATTTCAGCTCAGAATGCCTGTTTCAAGTGGTTGAGATAATTTGTAGAGTTTGAAATGGTAGGAGCTGTAAAAAAAAGTGATGTTCTAGACAGCAATAGCATGTGCCCTGCTATTTGATACTGTAGAAACTCTGTGGATAGAGATAAGAGAGCTTCATAAGAAACTGCTTTTTTTCTTTCTTTGTAATAATTCCCTTTACCTCATTTCAGGTAACGAAGTCGATGGCAGGGGTAGTTAAGTCTATGGATGCCACACTGAAGAGCATGAACTTGGAAAAGGTAACTAGACTTACTTTCCCTGGAGCTGCCCATCAAAAGCAGAAGGGGCAATGGACACAAGTTTTAAAAAGGGAAATTCCAATCAAGAGAAAAGGTTTGTGAGGTTGGCAGATCCTGGAACAGGTTGCCCGATGTGGTGAAGCCCTCGTAAATGGAGGTGTGCTCGGAACTTGACTGGGCAGGGCCCTGACCGACCTGCTTGAGCTGCAGTGTTAGGTCAACTTCAAAGTTGACACTGGGAGGGGGACAAGCTTCTGATCCCCAGAAGCTACTTGCCCTTGTAGTGTGGTTCTAGTTTTGCCAGTTGAGATATATTTCTGTTCTGTTATCTGCAGATCATTGATTTGATTCATTTTTTTAATAGATATCTGCACTAATGGACAAATTTGAGCATCAGTTTGAAACACTAGATGTTCAGACACAACAGATGGAGGACACAATGAGCAACACTACTACCCTAACAACACCACAAGTAAGAATTGTAATTTTTTTTTTTTTTTTTTTTTTTAAAAGGTGGTCTTAAATTACGTATGTAAACTATATGGAAATGTCTGATTCTCTTCTTTTTGCCAACTTTGAGACATAGCAGCAACCGGAGCCTTTTCATTTTTGCTTTGTGCTTCTTTGTGATGAAGAGACTATTTCAAGTTACAGTCACAAGTACAGAGGATCACATATATGTATTTTACTCTATTTCACTCTTACAGCAGGCTTTAGTTTATATTATATCTTGAAAACTTGAACCCTCCTACTGAATAAGCAGCATTTTGATGAGTTCTTAATGAAATTCTGAACCAGAAGACACTGCAGCATTAATTATCAAAGTAGAATATGCTGTGAGAAAATCAGTAGTTCTAAATTAGTCACCACCAAATTATATTTGTTACCTACTTTCAATTTATGGACATGTGTTTACTAAAATAAATCTTTAAACAATGCTTGACATAGTTAAGAATTCCTAGCACCTGTCTCCTTGTGCTATTTCCCAAGGAGCTAGACATGCTATTCTAATAGCAGTATTGTCAGAGAGAAAAATTTACTGGAGATAGTGCTTTGTAAATAAAATAAACAAACCTAAACCCAAATCCAATAAACCAAATCTATTGGAGATGGGCTTTTTTCCATGTTGTGCAAAGCAGTGTAGCTAATAATCAGCACTCGAAATATTCAAGTGTACGTTTAGCAAGATAAGCTTATCTTACTTTTTTTTTTTTTACAGATAAGTTTAATTCTTTACAAGCATTATTTCAGAAGCTAGAGTTCAATTAATGGGGTTTTTACAGGCTGAGCACCTCTACTCATTATTTTTGAGTTTGTACAGGGCCCTCTGGTGGTTAAGCACAAAAATGTTCCATAAAAGGCTTTTGCCTTCAAATTAGTTTTGTTAAAATAATTTCTGTTCTCTCAAGATTTAACAGAAGAGGTTGTCATAAACTACACTATACAACAATCGATTTTGTTTTCTTTACTCTAGAACCAAGTGGATATGCTTCTACAGGAAATGGCAGATGAAGCAGGGTAGGTAAAATTTTAAGTAACTGTTTCTTGAATAAATCATGGTTCCACAACCCTTCCTGGTTAACTTGAAGGTCAGATACCCTTGTTTTCTATTTGTCTGTCTCTTGGAAGCAGAGAAGAGTTACCATTTTCCTTTCAGCTCTGGGCATTTGGGCGTTGCTGGTAGCCTCGTGCTCAGTGTTCCTCTGCTTGTCAGTTACTGTGCTTCTTCCTTTGGCCATGTACGCCTGACTCGTTTGGTTTTGTTTTCTCCTACTAGTCTTGATCTGAACATGGAACTACCTCAAGGACAGACAGGTTCTGTTGGTACAAGCGTTGCCTCAGCAGAACAGGTAAGTGTTAGATTCAGCTGAAATCGATGTTTTCTAGAGAAATGTGGTATGAGAATTAATGCTTCGCTCAGCCAAAACAGGCTTGCTAAACTGTAATTAAATCTGAGCTGTCCAAAAGAAACAGCGTGCAATCAAAATAATTTTAACAGAACATTTGTCTGCTTAGTAAATCCAGAAAGTTTAAATGTTTCGGGTGTATTTTTGCACGGTTATTTCACAGAGTTCCAAACAGTTGAACCCCTACCTCCTCCAAATGTAATAAATCCAGCCACCTCCTATCGCATACACGAGGCCTTTGGGGTTTTTTTCCCTTTAATGTGTGAAAGGTCGTACGGGACTAATGCAAAGGATTCCACATCTGCTCTGGGTGGATAGCTTAGACTTCCTTGTGCGTGGGCAGGTCCTGATGTCAAAGTTGCGCAGATATTTGGCGAGTTGCTTTTCCCATTCTAGGGGAATATATTTGAGGGACTGGAAAGAGAACAGTTGGTTTCTGTCATCTCGTCTTTGTGGAGAAAGCTTTGGGGAACCTCATCTTAACTGACCAGTCTTTGGGAAGCCCCAAGTATTCCACATTTTTTGAAAAGTTCAGTTTCACCTTGTGCCAGGTCCCCTAAACCAGTTAGACCTACTGCTGTCGCACTGTAGCAGCTCAGGTGGATACCAGCCTTCGTCAGTCAAGGCTGCAGCCACATAAGGATGCAGTTCTGGAAGAGCTGATTCGCACTTGCAAAGATGATACGTTAAAAAAAAAAAAAAAAAAGGCAGAAAAAAACCCAAAAAACCCCCCTACCTCTACTTGCTGTGTTCTGAAACTCCTTCCTAGGTGTCCACTGCTGGAGATAAGATGGCTGTGTGCACCTCTGCTCGCACCTGGTACAGCTGTTCGTGAGGTCTTAAGCAAACGTTGTTAAGCCTTCTACATGAGATAATTTCATATGATCTGGACATGAGACTGCTTGACCATTGCAGAACTTTGCAAAAATTAATTTTCATATTACTGATAGCTGGTTTCTTTGTGTTTTACAATTCTGCAGGATGAGCTGTCACAGAGACTGGCCCGCCTACGTGATCAAGTTTAAGCTGCAGTTCTTTGTACATTCTTTCAAAATACCCTTTCTCTAACTAACCCTTCACTACACTAGAAAACTGTCTACAGTATGGCTTAGGTGTTTGATCTTTGTAATATAGGGTACTTCACTCCTAGCTTGCTACTCTTTCTAAAATACATTAAGTAACCCAAAAATATCAGCTCTCTAATGTCCGTTTCTGTACATTTTGAAGTTGATATATTTTTTGCAAGCTTTTTTCACAAAAACAAGTTGCTATTCTAAGTCAGCTAGTAATGTTGGTACATTCTAGCTAAAAGAAAACCAGAGTGTCGTTGATATATATTTTAAATTATGAAGTGATTTTTTTTAAATTATGAGAACTGTTTGTGGTTGGAGAACTGATGTATTCGGTTCAGCTGATTGTTGTAGATAACTTTCCTACACAGCCAAACTCCTGGAGCATGCAGAAGTGGACACCATGGACTTCATGGAAAATAGGCTTGTTAATACAAATAAGTGGACTTCAGTCTTGAGCTTTTTAGTCTTTTAAAGCTAGGGTAATTGTGCTGAAATTAGTGGTTTAGTTCAAAAATGAGTTACCAAAAGCTGTTTTCATATAATTGGGATCTTGTACAGTGTCATCACTTCAGTACAGGGGGAATAAAATCTATTTTTCAACTCTTTGTCAGTTCTGTTGAATGTTGCAGCTTGCTTGTTGTTTAATGTCAAGTGCTGTAGCTTCCCTGGTGTGCTTTCTTCTCCGTATCCTGGGGTGCAGCCAGTTATGCTGCTCACCCCTCTGTTCTGCCAACACGCATCTAGTTCCTGCTAACGGGGAGCTCGTGCTCTCCGGTTTTGTGGGCTCAAGCTGAGAAGCCTTGTATGAAGTAACTGGAGCCTGCTGTTCTCCATTTATTTTTCTGTCTTTGCTTTTAATCTAGTCATTTACTTATATGTAAGGACAAGTCTTGTGATCGTATTTCACATTTCAGTGTTCTTCCATAGATGAAGTGCTCTTCCTCGCATTCAGATCTCCACAGTCCTTTCATGAGTCGAGGTCCCAGCCCCATCTTCCCTAAGTGGGGCACTCCCTTGGATCAGCTTTTCCTCCTCTGCACCTCGCAGCAGATGAGAAGTGGATGAGTAGTGTAGGCAGCTCAGTCAGAGAGGGTCATGTTGGATTAAAACCAGCTGCTTTATTTTTTAAGGTATAATGTTCCTCTCTGCAGATCAAAGAACATGATCTGTAATATTGCAGTTGTACGGAGAAGCTGATTTGAGTGATCACTTTCTGCTTCTGCACAGTAAGAACGTCTACTGGCTGCTTTCAGTAGCTTCGAACTCTTGCAGCAGTTGTGGAGGGAAGAAATGGTTGTAGAAATTTGTAGCTGAGATTAGTTGTGATGTGCTGTGATAAACGGTGGTGTTAAAATTACCTTTCTGACGTTCTGGGCTCATTTTTTTTGTTTTAGCTTTGTCAGGGTGAGGGATGGTGTGAAGACTTGGAATTAGTTCTTAATTTGCTGGTGTTCAGGGTCACATGCGTTTTCCAGTGTTGGGGAAATATTTAAGAAAAAAAAATACTTTGCTTTTTTAGTGAAGCAGGATTTTTTCAGTGAAAACATGCAAAAATGATGAAACATTTCAGAGCGGTTTCAAACAAATCACTTTGAAGGTTTGTTACATACTGAAGTATTCAAGGCTACTGTAAAAATAAGATAAGAAAAATAAGATAGACAAAACAAGCTAAAATGTTGTGTAATTGTCTCTGTCACGCTGGCAGCCGAAACTAAAACAATTTGTTTAGAATGCGGTCTTTCAACTTGTTTACATTTATTTTCAATGCAGCTTTCTTTAAACACCCTGAATGTTCCTCCTGTAAATAGGAGAAATTGGAAGGTGTTTAAAAACCATGTACTCACAGCTGTAGCCTTGGTACAATCCTTTCAAATTATTAATAAAACATCTTAGGAAAGGGACTATCTACTATGTTTCTTTTTTTTTCCCCAGCTTCTCCTGAACGATATAACAAAAAACGGTGTATCTATGCAACGAGGTTACCCGCAACTGAGGTAACTGCCTGTGTGCGTGCCTTTGCCTTGCTGAACTTGCTTCAATTTTACTTACTTCAGTTTTTTGATATTCAGTCAGTTCTATCATGAAAGAATTGGAAACTTACTGTTGTGCAATAAATCCACATCTGAGTTTACTTTGTGGTTGCTCGCTGATGGACCTGTACCGTAAAGTCCTGAGGGTTTCAGTGTTTGGTATTAGACAACTTCAGCTACCTTGTCTGGGTTATTTTCACGTTAAAGATTATGTTGAGTTTAGACTGTTTCTGGCCATTCTTAAACTGTTTGAGGGGGCAGACAGCAATCCTGAGATTTATATTTGATTTTCTGGGTATGCTGCCTTGCAGTGAGCCTTGGGGCTTTGGGGGAATTTAAAAATAAAGGGAGATGAGGCTGATGAGATTGCTGCAAGGTAAATGTTAACTAAGCTTATCTTACTGGCTCTACACAGCCTACTTCGTAGATTTGATGTTGCTTGCTTGCTAATTCCAGTACCAGAACAGATTTCCAGGATCATTTATTTCAAGGGATTAACAAGTAAACATAAAGGCTTGATGGACATCATTCATGTTACCTCTGCGGGACTATGGTGCAAAGAGGTAGGCAGGCTTAGCCGACTTGGGGAAGAAATACGTGTTTGAAACAGTGAATTTTTGCCCTGCTGCCTTCACTCCGAGAATTGCTGCATGTTTCAACCGGGCCAGGATTTTGTATCGGTTACTTCTGCATATACATCTCCTGCCCTCTCCTGGGGAAAACGAGTTCTTTTCAGACACGCTTGTGTACGAGAGCTGGCATTCAGGAAGTTTTAACAGTTACATTTTGAATGTATATATTTTTCTCAAGTCTTTTGGAAATGCTTAATACTGAAAGTTACTCGTAGAGCAATATTTGAGTGTCATGCCCTTCCTCCATTCAGGCTGTCCTCCAAACGTTTGCCCTTTTCTGAGCAGCTCTGGCTCCTCACTTACAATGCTGGTGTTTCTTGTAAGTTGACTGTATGTGTTTGTAGAAGTTCATTTCATGTTAAATAAATTGTGCTTTTATGTAACCTTATTACCAGATAATATTTCAGTATTTATGCTTATGAGCAGGCACATCTGAAGCAAAACATTGCTTGAAATGTTGCAAGATGGTTTTGTTCAACATTTTTTTTTCCTTGGTTACTAAAACTGCTAGTGTATGGTGGCACTAGTCTTCATTTGAATTCCCAAACTGAATTCAAATGAATGAGTTCAATTCTGACAGCCATGAAGAGCTTCAGATGAAAGGAGAGGGAAGGGAAGAAAAGGAAAGGAAGAACAAGAACTTTAACTTTCTTGACTCCAATGGGATAAAATAATCGAGTTGCCTTTGTGGAGATCCTCAGAGCCAAAAAAATAGTGAAGTTTTGTTAAATATAATCAGCAACTGTATACAGAAATAAATTCTGAAGCTGGCGGCATGTATAGAGAAGAGCAAAGAATAATTTTTGTAGCTCTGGTAGAGTTCATTTTGAAAACTGCTGTACTTGTACGGGACAGTTTGTAACTGCAAGTGGTAAATAAACTTGTACAGACAACTGATTTCAGATGTGTTCTGCAGCTGTTTGCTGACGGGGCTCAGTACAAGGGTAAACCAGCAGATGTCATGATGTTGTCACTAGTTTCCTGTGAGAAGACAATCAGAAATTTAAATATTTATGGAGACAAAATAAGGAAGTAAAGTGGGTTCTATTGAGAAAGATTTGGGACAACAGTTTAGGGAGTAATTAAGTAGAACATGAAATATCTCTTTAATATTTTATGATTTTTTAAAAAAATGTTCAGTCTGGTGGGACATGTGTCCCTCGTGCTTAAACATCTCAGAGGGTTTTCTGTCCCTACCGTATATCACGGGGTCATATGGAAAGCTGGCAGGAGATGGTGTGGTTTTGAATTTGTGCTCCCCTGAGCTAAAAACCTTCCACGTTCATTTTCCCCTTCCCTTGTGGCTCGGGAACCAGCAGAGGGAGCCTCCGGCTTTGTTTTTGCCTTGGTCCTACAGAAACCGTCAGTACTTGGGATTAAGAGGACTTCCACAGGGTCCTCACTAGCTGGTGTAAGGAGCTGGCTCTCCTGTGGAACCTTTGTTTCCGGGCAGTATCAGAGCTCGGCAGGACGTGCCTGTGTCGGGGCTTTGATCCTTGCCTAAAAGCTGCTCTGTTGCACAAAACACGACCTGGAAACACGTTGCACAAGGCTATCAGCCAATTGGCATCAACACCGTTTCATTTAGCCATCTTTGCTCAATGCACATCAAAATGTTTCTTTGCGTCTTGAGGCACTAATTTGGGACTTTGAGATCTACTGTTAGGAGCATGATGGTAGCTTTGTGCTTAAAACTTGGTTTAAATTGTTTAATTTTTAGTTAAGTCCTCTTGGGTTTAACTGCTGTCGTTTTGGTTTTGTCCTGTGATAATTCTTCTATTTTTTGCAGAAGGAAACACACGCTGTGTGCTGATGGAAAATGTATTTCAATAGAAAATTTCATTTTCTCATTGGAAGCGTTGCCCACGTTGAGATTTGATCTGAGGAAGCATTTACTTGCTTTCAGGCTCCTCTCTGCCCATACGGTGCGTTGCATTTTTTGGTGTTGGCCTTGTTCTGTTGCAGAGGGCTGGTTTGGGCTAACGGCAGCGTACTGCTCGATGCTGTCTCTTTTGTCAAATGGTGTTTTTTCAATGAAATCCCAGGAAGGGTCAGTGGCCCTACTTGTGTCGGGAGCAGCTCTCTTCATTAGCATTCAAATAAAGGAAAAGACCGACACATGAACAATCTGTAACTAATTTGAAGTCCCAACTGAGGCTTCTTAACTTGGAAGACCATGCAGTAAGCGAGTCTTACAGGCTGTCACTTGGCCTTTACTACTCTTTATTAAGAAACTCATGCTGAATCAGCAACGATACACAGTTCAAGATAGAATATCAACGGGCTGTAGGCTTCCAGCTCTTTCCAGCTCTTTGGAAAGCTTTCCAACGTCTTCCTGCCAGTTGCTGTGAGAAGCAGCCAGAACCAGACCATCTCGCAGCAGACAGGCTGCTTTCAAACTCTCATCTAGACAAGTGTGGTTTGGGAGGATAAAAGTACTTAAGCACCATATATTTCTAATCTAAGAGATTGTTTACTGTTTTGATGACCTGTGCCTATTGCTTAGGATATTCTAGACTTGTTAACTCTGAGTGAAACAATCTTTTTGCAAGTCTAAAGCAATAAATGTTGTGCTAACTGATATGTGTATCTGACAAGATAATAATTAGCTTAATTTAATTTCCCCACTATCTGATTCATAATTCTTCATTACAATCAATTTCTGTCAAAATGAGCTGTCAGAGTAGTAAAACATTTTAAAACTTCCTTTAAAGGCACTCGATATTTTTGTATCTTATTTTTAAAGAATTCCTTCTTTCTTCAAAGATTGGTTTAACATAATCCTGGAGTCTTTATCCAAAATATTTCACTTTGTTCTTATCACAGTCAGGACTTTGTATCTCTTGCTGCAGAATGGGTTAATACTGGAACCATCAAGCTCTATTTTTGTTGCTGGTGACTTTTCAGTTCCAAGTACCAATACGAAGCCCCAACATTTGA